TATTCTCTCCCCTGTGCCCTTCTATTCTCTCACCTATGCTCTTCTATTTCCCGGCCTACTCATGCCCTTCTATTCACTCAAATATGCTCTTCTATTCCCCGGCCTACTCATGCTCTTCTATTCTCCCCCTTTAGCCATTCCATTCTATTCCCACCCCATGCCCATCTATGCCCCCCCACACGCCCTTCTATTCCCCAAACTTAGGCCCATTCTATTCCCCCCAGACCCTTCCTCAACACTGCCATATACCCACTTCGCCCTATACCAGACCCTTCCTCAACCCTGCCATATACCCACCTCGCCCTATACCAGACCCTTCCTCAACCCTGCCATACACCCACATCGCCATATACCCACATGGCCATATACCCTCATCGCCCTATACCAGACCCTTCCTCAACCCTGCCATATACCCACATTGCCCTATACCAGACCCTTCCTCAACCCGGCCATATACCCACATTGCCCTATACCATTCTCTTCCTCAACACTGCCATATACCCACATTGCCCTACACCAGACCCTTCCTCAACACTGCCATATAACCACATTGCCCTATACCATTCTCTTCCTCAACCCTGCCATATACCCACATTGCCCTATACCAGACCCTTCCTCAACCCGGCCATATACCCACATTGCCCTATACCATTCTCTTCCTCAACACTGCCATATACCCACATTGCCCTATACCAGACCCTTCCTCAACACTGCCATATAACCACATTGCCCTATACCAGACCCTTCTTCTACTCTGCCATATACCCACATCACCCTATACCAGACACTTCCTCCACCCTGCCATACACCCACATCGCCCTATACCAGACCCTTCCTCAACCCTGCCATATACCCACTACGCCCTATACCAGACCCTTCCTCAACCCTGCCATATACCCACATTGCCCTATACCAGACCCTTCCTCAACCCTGCCATATACCCACATCGCCCTATACCAGACCCTTCTTCTACTCTGCCATATACCCACATCACCCTATACCAGACCCTTCCTCGACCCTGCCATATTCCATCATCGTCCTATACCAGACACTTCCTCGACCCTGCCATACACCCACATCGCCCTATACCAGACCCTTCCTCAACCCTGCCATATACCCACTACGCCCTATACCAGACCCTACCTCAACCCTGCCATATACCCACATTGCCTTATACCAGACCCTTCCTCTACTCTGCCATATACCCACATCACCCTATACCAGACACTTCCTCAACTCTGCCAAACACCCACATCGCCCTATACTAGACCCTTCCTGCCTGCCCTTTACCTAACCCTGCCTCCACATTTCCCTATACAAGACCACACCTCACCCTGCCACCTACCCGTCCCTGCAGCCTGTACATAACTTGTCTTCCATGCAACTCCGGTATTTGTTGACAAGAATTTTAAAATGTCAAATGTTGACTTGAACTATTGCAACATCATTGTCCCATATTGTCCTCCAAGGCAATACTGTAATATTTAATATTAAACTTACATTAATGGGGAAGTGGTGTTGCAATCCTTGAGGCTTGCTGCTATGGTATATGAGTAAGTTCCCCCTGAGACTCTAATTTCAACATTACTATTATGCCAAGGACTCCTTGACTTCAATGCTAAACTCTTTCACAATTTTCAGTACATGTTCCACTGCAGATGAATTCCTTAAAACCATTTCCAGATAGTTCAACTTTTCAACATGATACTAAGTCATTGACACTTCCAATTATACCCTGTTCACCAAAGTTCACCAAAGCTAATTTAAGTGCATTGTGTAGATACTCTTGTAAGGATGCATTTGGGTAAAGATACAAAATTTAGTGATTTCTACTCTGAACATCCCAATGACAAGTGTATGGGCCAAACATCCATTATGAGAAAGAATGTTCTAATTTATAAAATATTTATAAAAAAATCTGAAATCGTAAATGTTTCTTTGAAAAACACAAACCAACAAACCAACCCAACCCAACACTGAAAACGTATCTATTTTATAATTACAAGAAAATTATAGAAAAAAATGTTCTACATTTCACGTCATTCCCCGCTTCTCCACCCACATGTAACCCCCTCCCTGGCATCATATATTCTGGTCACCTTGACAACACCTCCTCCTCCCCATCATCACTCACTCCCTCCTCCAAGCCATCAATACCATTTCGACAGGCGACTCAACTTCAACACTTTACAAAATGGACTACACCTACAGTGGCTCAAAGACCCCCATTTGTTTAGGAAATAGGCTTGCTGTAGACACAGACCCTGTACCGAGCTCGGGGTCAGATGGAAGAAATCATCTCCCTGTAGCCTGGCATTGACATGGTGGCCGGTATACACACTGATATACACAACTCCAGCCGTCATACCTCACGATATTATACACCAGGAACCGGGGAATACGCAACACAGTCGGTTTGGCTACATACTTACCCAACTCCACAACAGACGGCTGGTCGTGTCAGTCAGTCGATCGAGGGTTGTCCTTGTTTCACGGTTCACACTGGTATTAACACACACGGTATCTTATCTCACAAGCTTCATTGTAATACATCCAGAATCGGTGAAAAAGAACAAATTTTATATTCCATCCACCACGGTTACTCCCTGCTCTGGCTACGGCTAATTCTGTTCTGGGGCGAAACAAGGATCTGTGACTATCAGCCTGAATGATTAAGAATAGCCAGTCAGGCGGGACGCCTAACATTTGGTCGTGTGGAGGGTTAATGCATGGATAAACATACCCAACACAATGCAGGAGGCTCTGTTAGCGAGAGAACCATGGAAGGGGGTCAAGATTACATGCACGCTGTCAGGGCACATCAGCCATTGTGTTTAAATATGTCCATCTCGTAGGGGATTAAATGCTAATCTGTTGTCTATTAAGTTTATGGAGTCCACACAATCTGTGAAAACAGGCCATTGTGGTGTCATGTTTCTTTGGTAATATACTGACTTTTTCCATATTTCAGTGAAATCTGTTTCAGTGGTTATATGCCATTAATTAATACAATGGGTTATATACCATTTATTACATCAAACAGAGTTATAAACCATTGATTAATATCTGTAATGAGTTATATACTATTAATTAATATATACAATGGGTTATATGGCACTAACTAATTCAAACAGTATGTACCATTATTTAATAACTCAAACTGAGCTATACACCATGAACAAAACAAGACATTTTTTTGTTCCATTACTAAATACATACAATGGGTTATATACCATTAAAAATTTCAAACAGAGTTATAGCAGTAATAGATATATTGATAAACCATTAATTAACTGTATACCAAGGCTCATGTACCACTAATTAATTTATAAAGAGTTATATGTTATTATATATTATGCATGATGGTCATAAAACCAATTATTTTACCAGTCATAAATAATTCAAACTTTGGTTCAGATACTATTTTTCTACAGTTTAAAGCAAATATTTTAAATCATATATAAGTATATTATATATTGGATAACTGCAATGGCACAATGAATGAGTCTGCAGCAGATCCACTGGTCAAAGAGCGAGTGACAAAGTGAGTGAGTGAGACAGTGTGTGTCAGAGTGAATGAGTGACCGAGAGAGTGTCCAAGTGAGTGAGTGAGTGAGACAGTGTGTGTCAGAGTGAATGAGTGACCGAGAGAGTGTCCAAGTGAGTTAGTGAGTGAGATGAGGTATCATGAGCTCAACTTGTTTCTGCTGGGAGCAGTTTTGTATTCCAATCAATTTCTCATACAGATCATGAAACAAGAAATCCCAAGCAAGTCTACATTATTTTGGCAAGTCTAGATTTGCTCGGTTTATGAAAAAGAAGAGCTTTCTGGCTTTTTGTTATTATTTAATAAAGGACAATTTAACAAACAATATTTTCATTTCAGAGACTTAAGGTTAGTCCATATTCAAACACCAAACTAACTTACACAATCAACTTCCTTGTAGCAGATCATTAATCACTGTTTCCTTGTCTTGAGCTACTCATAAGGCAACCACTTTAGCCTTCCTCTCAGCTAACCCCATTTACCACCCCAACCCCCACCCCTCTCTCCCTCTCCTCACCCTCCAACCAACACATATTGCTCAGATTTACCATGTTTACCCAAGCATAACTTGCATTTTCAACATGGCTGGCCTATTCTGTCTACATGTTAAATGATACACTAAAACTTAAAGTACAATGACTTTTCTGGCTGTTGTCATGCACTGATTCATCCTAGGGCCAGGATGACACTATGCCTGACACGAAGGTGCTGCATGTGATAACACTTAACACTACAATACTGCTGAACACTGGAAAAATACATCCTGTTTCAGACTTGGGAGGAGGTGACGAGGAGGGGAGGGGGAACAAGAAATCTGTAACCACATCCATCTCCAGAAATTTGAACATCCTTTACTTCGATGACTTTCAATTTTCATATCTGCAGCATAATATATGCAGGACTTTTCCAAACAAAAAGATTGTTTGATAAGTAAGATAAAGATTTATCTCCTTTCAACGAGAAACCACTAATCAACCACGTATTAATGTATGAAATGACACATTATTTTACTTTCCAGAATATTTTTCAAAATAAGTCCCCTTCACATCATCTGTCTTTATGTTCAATCGTTATGGAGAATAAACTTCAACTGCAAACAATACTTCAAATATAACCTGTTCTAAACTTTTAATAAACATTTATCCTTTTTTCCATATTTCTAAAACTAATCCCTTTCCAAAATAACAAAATAGAAATGAAAATTAATGTAGAAATAAGACATATAGTGAAATGAATCAAAAACCTTTAAATTAATGTGACTTACAATCAAATATGGATAGTTTCCCCTAAATTGATTCACTTACACCACTCTCCCTCAACACCAGTACAATAAATTCCCTGAAATTGCCGAGCAGACGACAACCACCAAGGGAGTTAACTCTTGGTGAGGCAGCTTCCTGGCTGCTGGCTGAGAGGGTAGAGAGTGGATTGTTTACACAGTCGAACAGCCTACCTTACTATCTCACTTGACCTGTGTTCCGCTTCACAGAAATAATCGGTGCAAGGTCCAGACAAGCTACCTTCCAGCTGACATTGCAGCGTAGCCTGGATTTTTACTGTTCCAATTTCCTTGACACAGACGGTAAAAGCAGGCTATCAGTAAAAAACAATCGTCTGCTGTTCTCTATCAAATTCCTGTATGTCAGTGAGCCACAATCTCCACTCAGTCTAAATGGTACACCACAAATTCTCCACTTATTTTCTCCAGTGGTATCTGTACATTGCCTCTTTGGCTTGACAGAGTATTTGTGAATACAACTCGTCCCTCTATCTCAGCTCAGGGACTGAGCTTGCCGGGACTAAAATAAGAGTGTTACCGAATGGCATCATGTTCCGCATGAGCTGCTGTGCGAAATAAGCAGGAGGCATTTCAGAAGCGGCCAGGCGTGAAAAACCAGCGGCTTGGAAACACCAGGCTATTATGCGAATCTCTGCTGCGTCATTAGTGTTTTCGCGATCTTTTCAATATCATGACCAACCCCATGCAACCGTCTAGAATACCGTTTCTCTCTATTTTTTTTCATCATTCTTTATTGCTTAAAAAAGGACTGTGACAATTCATCTGCGAAGTAAAATTCTATAGATTCCCTGCAGATGCAATTCCATGGACGCATTGTCGTCTAGCACGGCTTTCAGCCAACCACGCAGGTTCCATAAATTCTCGTCAGATAATTAACGCTAGCCCAGTGCCTGCAGACAAGCATGAAATACCTCTATCCTTTTTCGTCATGGAGGAAAAACAACTGCAGCTACTAGGTGAAGCAGCAGCCCGATCGTGACAAATCTGCAATCATGTCATGAAAGGCTCCCAGACCCTTTCTATAAATTCTAAGGAGGATGCAAACGATGCATGCTCGGGAGACCTTTTCAAGATAGATAAGCTCAAGGCTGAACCACGGTGCAATTTAGCGAACCTTGGTTTCCGCAACCCCGTGGTGGATTTGGGCTGCAATTTCTGCGAGATGAATTAGTCAATTGTGGCCGGCTGACATGTGAAGAAACGGGCCACTGCACACCGTAATGGGAGAATCAATCGCACATAAAATACTGATATTGCCCGCCAGCCCTTCTACAACGACTGACATTGCCTTGCTCGAGTCACGCGCATAATAAGTCTCCGCTACCCAACGGCACGCAAGATGGACTCTGAGACAAGATTCTTCCCAGTGCCCACTATTTTCATAATTACTCTCCCCTAAAAACGACATTAATTCCACAAACAAGACAATCAGAGGAAGGCCTGCTATTTCTCCTCATCAACACCTTGTCCCAACACTCTTGTTACTGATAGGTAGGGGTGCATGGTTACATTCTTGTCAGTTCTACCGCATTTCATCTGATAAAGTCTTTATGACCTTTGACTGTTTTGCATCCTATAAATCTAGTAAAATCCTGGATAAATATTTATTTTTGTATATTTGTATACTTATCCTGCATAACATTCTCCATTGGTAAACTTTGACTGCTTTGTGTAATAACCTCCTTTCAAAACATAAAACCTGATTAAATTTCAGCTGAAAAATTTCTATTTGATAAATAAATTTAAAAACAAAATAATAATAATTTGACAAATATATACGGTGGGCAAATGGATTCATAATCAAGGTGGAAGGCATGATGACAAAAGAAATGATTGAAGGGGTGTCTGAAATGTTTGAAGTAGACTGTAATTAGACTTAAATACAAAGATAAATACACTTCTACTGCATTTCATTTCATAAAGGACTTCCTCCATTCTTAAAATTTGACTGCTTTTTATATAATGGACTCCTTCATCCATTTATAGCTCCCAAGTTTAATCTCATAAATTCTTTCCTTTGTTCACTTCAACTGCATTTCCTCAAATTAACTTCTTTTTTACTTCATAAATTTCCTTATTAAGCAGACATGTATTTCTACTATTTAAGACAAAAGCGCCATAATAGCATTCTAGGTACAAAAACTCACTCCATCTAAACCCAGGTCAGATTGACTAAACCACCCTCCTACAGCAAGTAAAGAACCCTTTAAAAGAATGATCAAGTTTTGTTGCCAGAAGTAATTGTCAAAATATTTTAGTTTGTTTGTTGTTTAACGTCACTCAGCAATATTCCAGCCAAATGACAGTGGTCTGTAAATTTTCAAGTTTGGACCAGACAATCCAGTGATTGACATCATGAGCATCAATCTTCGCAATTGGGATACGATGACATGCATCAACCAAGTCAGCGAGCCTGATCACTCAATCCCATTAATCGCCTCTCATGCATAGTCGCCTTTTAGGGCAAGCATGGGTTGCTGAGACCTATTCTGACCCGGATCTTCACAGGGTGTAAAATCATATGTATAGAAAAGGTTTTGTCAAATATATTTTTATACAATAAAACGCTTGATTCTGAAATGCCCCAAATCTCGAAGTCTCTCACAATGTAGTGTACCACATCCTTTCACAATTATTGAAACTTGATTATAAATGAACTTGGTGTCTCCTTAGCATGCTTAGTTAACAGAACCTAATTTGATGTTGTGTATGACTTCCATTCTCTCCAAACACCAAACAGAACTCATTGTAACTCATCAAACATATATGACACATGGTCAGCTGCAGCATCATCAAGCTCTTTTTGTAGCTCTTCACATATGTACAAAGCAGATATTTTACAAACATTCAAACAGGGGTTTTTTTATTAAAAAAGAAAGAAATATAATACTTCAAAATATATAAAGATTTTTTTTATTTTTTTTACTGAAAAGTTTTGGCATCAATATTATTCCAAATCAATTTCAAACTTATTTAAGTCTAATTTTTATCACTTTCATTTATAATATATGAGCACTTATTTCTGAAAATTAATAGAAAAAGTTCTGCAAATGTACATTCAAAATCAACAAAGACATTGCGACTGCGTTCTGTTTTTCCCAGTCTACCCAAACTCATTCATTGTATGGAACTGATCAGATTTAACACATACCAAGTATGCTCCATCAAAACTCTCCTTGCGTGTAGCAAGATTGAAACATTATAGCCACTTCTATCCAAATGTATGGCACAGTTTGGGACAAATTTCAAATGATGGATATATTTAAATAAACAATAATCTGTAATAAATAGACAAACAAATTCTTCAACAACTTAGAAAATTGGTGGTAACAATGATCTCAATAAGACCAAAAGTTAAGAAAAAATGTCCTTTCATTCTGTGCAGGAATTTGCCAGCAACTTTCATCAACAGAAACATAACTATCAGCACATACCAGATCATTTTGTTTAACATAAAATCAATTTTTCTGTTCTTAATCCTACACGTTCATCTTTAGCCACTAATTAGCAAGACAACAAATAAAGGAACAAATGGATCTCCTCTGTCCAAGGGCTTACAGGAAATGGTGGCAGGCACACGGTTCCGCTGTCGTGGAAATGTTTTCGAAGAGCGGAACGGAACCCAGTACGGTGGAACTGGCATAATGCAGTGATCAGTTCTGTCTGAGGCCTTGTAGGGGTGTGGGGGGCCTTGCAAGGGTTTATCTACAAGGTATGTCATTTGGCAGTCTCTGCTTAATGGACTTTGTCATAGGTATAAGTTTTTATTTTTTTTTATTTTTATGAATAAATAACAGGAGTAAATGCTAGCATATTTCACAGTATGAAAGAAAACAACATAAATATTTGATACTTCAACACACATCAAGTGTCCCAGATATATAGGAGATTTTCAAATGAATTATGGATTCACAACACCCATTTAGTCTGTGATATTTTGAAAATTGCTTACAGACATTTTATGAGCTTCCCTGATGTTGATCAGTTTTTTTAGATCCCTGCCCTAGCTGCCCTAGCTGCCCTGCCCTGCCCTGCCCTGCCCTGCCCAAGATCTTTTTGTTGGGTCTGTAGTATGTTACGCACGAGATGTGTCTACCACTCTGAATCGCCCACTTCATATTCATATCATTACGTGTAAACATGGATGGACTGTAATCACCATGTATTTCTGATGGGACTGTAAATAAGCATTTCAAATCATCATGTGCTTGAGATTGTGGACATGTTTGGTGCTTGAATTCATATCAATGTCTTGTAAATAGTTACAGAAGAACTTTGACAATCTATGAAACACACACTCAAATTTACTAGAAAGAATGAGAGCAGTTGGGGCTTTTGAAATAGATTGTAATAACCAGAATATGTTATATTCACGTTTGTTTTAAATAATTTCCACGGTAAGGTTGAATTTGGTGATTACACAATGTTCTTCAGTGTAATAAAGTCTGATCTCAATAATTTGCTTGGTGCATTTGGAACTTGACAGAGTGAAAATTCAACTGAGTTTAATCAAGCATAAAATCTTCTTGGGTTCGCAGTGTGCCTTAGCACTACGACTGTCGAAAGTCTATGCTAAGGTATGGGAGTTACGATCACCTTTGCGCTATAAAGATGGCTTTGTACAATGGCACCCTGACCAAGTGTTCCTTACATAGACGTGGAAGTTCACCAACCACACAATATGTCCACATGGAACTGTCAAGAGAGAGTCCTTGACACCCAGGGCAGATATATTCCCAAGACAACAAGAGAGAACCGAAAACCCTCGCAATCACCAAGTCACCAAGTCTGACCATCCGATCCTAAAATGGACTCTTTATGATACAAATACAACAGTGGGACATCCCCCGGAATCTCCATAGGGAGGACTATTGCTGCAGTGATAAAGAGGACTATTGCTGCAGTGATAAAGTGGACTATTGCTGCAGTGATAAAGTGGACTATTGCTGCAGTGATAAAGAGGACTGTTGCTGCAGTGATAAAGAGGACTATTGCTGCACCGATAAAGAGGACTATTGCTGCAGTGATAAAGAGGACTATTGCTGCAGTTGATAAAGAGGACTATTGCTGCAGTGATAAAGAGGACTGTTGCTGCAGTGATAAAGAGGACTATTGCTGCAGTGATAAAGTGGACTATTGCTGCAGTGATAAAGAGGACTATTGCTGCAGTGATAAAGAGGACTATTGCTGCAGTGATAAAGAGGACTATTGCTGTACTGATAAAGGGGAATATTGCTGCACCGATAAAGAGGACTATTGCTGCAGTGATAAAGAGGACTATTGCTGCAGTGATAAAGAGGACTATTGCTGCAGTGATAAAGAGGACTATTGCTGCAGTGATAAAGAGGACTAGTGCTGCAGTGATAAAGAGGAATATTGCTGCAGTGATAAAGAGGACTAGTGCTGCAGTGATAAAGAGGACTAGTGCTGCACTGATATAGAGGACTATTGCTGTACTGATAAAGGGGAATATTGCTGCACCGATAAAGAGGACTATTGCTGCAGTGATAAAGAGGACTATTGCTGCAGTGATAAAGAGGACTATTG